CCTCTAGGTGGTGGATTCGGTGCCGGGATTCAGTGCAGCACCATCACCGAGGCAGCCATGTTGGGATGATGATCTGACAATCCTGGGTGAGCTGAGGCAGGAGGCAGCGCAGGAGACAGAATGACAGGCCTGCTAGTGTGGGGGGTCACTGGCAGAATATAGGTATTAAACTGAGGTCGGAGGACTGATGTTTGCCCGATGCACGTGGTGAATTTTGCATCTGCCCTCCAGAAAGGGGAGTCAAACGTTGAACAGCATTCATACTGTTTTTTTTTTTTAAATTCGGTTGTTTTTGTTCTCTCTTTTTTTTTTAGTTAAATTATTTGTAGCCATATGTTTATATGATCTGATTTTCAGTTCAAGTTTTGCACCTGCACTCAATTTTCATCTACCATCATCACTTTAGATTAAAGTACAAAAATAGCAGTTTGTAGTGTTTGAGTTGATACAACTGCTATCTCTGACTGTCATCAATACCTGGTCCTTGGTGGAGGACCTAAAATTGGATTCCCTGTGGTCCTCTTGTTCATAAATCCCTGCTGCTCTGAACAGCTGTTTTGCTAACTTTCCATAGACTAATCTCTGTGCTTGTTCCTTTTCTTTCTTTAGAGCTGATGTAGTGATTAAGTTACAAGTGTAGGAAACAATTTTTTGTGTTTAAAAGTTAGCACGTTTTCTGGTAGACATACTATATTCTTTGTTTCCTTTACAAGTATGACACAATGGCTGGCTGTGTTGAATGCAAATGACGCTTCTTTTGTGATGCGTTTTTTTTATTTGAATGTAGAGAGTGAGATTCTGAGCTTTATTTTGTAATCGTTTTGAGTTTGTTTTAAACTTGTCTGATGATGTTAATAATTTGACTCTTCAAATCCCTATTTGACCTTTAGCTTTGTTTCAAACAAGAGCAATATCTTTTGTGTTTTGATGCTGCATGAAAACTGATTTCTCAGAACTTTCAGATATATAAAAATTTTAGAATCAGTCTTAATGAAAAACTTGTTTCAATAAACATTTGTGTGTAAAGTCGGAATCAAATTTCAAGTGCTTGAGACCCACAAAGGGAGAGTGTCTGTTTGTTAGCTTGAATACTAGAAAGCAGACAAGATATTTGGATAATTTGTTTAATGATAGGCTTTAATATTAAAAACCTCACTGTGCAACTTATAGGGTGTATGGTGAATATCTTTTAATAGTAGTTTAAAATAAGATTAGTAGAAAGCTGTCTTCTCTCAGACGTGTAGGGTTTGCTTGTGAGCTGACTAAATGCTCAGGTATTGCTTACATCCAGTTTTAGAGCCAGGGGTTATATCATGGTAAGGATTCAAACATGCAGGTCTTTTCTTTGACTTGGTTCTTGTTTGGATTCCTACAGGAGAAACATTAAAAGATGCACAGTTAGTAGACTCTTTCCAAGACATTAAGGGAATGGTTCATTGCAGAATGAATGGCAGCCTTCTAAGCCTGTAACAAATAGGAGAGACTTCATCTTTTAAGCTTGTATCAAAGACTGTAGTAAGGATTTTATTTGCCTCTGTTGCAAGTTATGTCTCCTCTTACCACTGCATAGACAGTGTTTTGTAACAGTAACAGGCGCTACTGAGAAAGGTGAAACTTGGAAAGCTAGTTGCAATTTATTACTGATTTCTGTGATACTTTACCTGTTCAACTTGGTCTCGTTTTGCCTTATTTTGTCATTCTGCATGATGAAGGCAGGGCTGCCTTTATCAAGTGTCAGGAGGACCGGTTAAAGTTGTGATTAACTGAAAAACACTAGCTTTAATTTATGAGAAACTTGGAAAAAAAACCCATGGTTTTGGGCTAATTTTCATGTTAATGAGTATTAAATCTTGCATAGTGAGATGATGTCAAAACATCTGAAGTCCATGTGCAAATGTAAACATGCATTTTGTTTACTTCGGCTGTGAAAAGTAGTAGACCTGAGAGTGAGATAGAAAATGAAATGCAGTAATTACAAATGAGCATAAAAAGATAGGGTTGGAAAAAGTTTGTAACTTCAAAGGCTACCGATGAGGGATTTTTTTAATGCTGATATAGGTGATCTTGTTCTATGAAAATTTTTTAACATCTGTCTTCAGAACAAAGTTCTTGTTTAGCTAGTGCGTATTGAATCCTTGGTGCTGTGCTTTGCTTTTTTATTGTGAATAGGGTGTATACTTGTGAGATTACTTCCCCCTATTTTAGCGTGCTCTTTGTTAGAAAATGATTTTGTTAATTGAAATGGCAATACATTTTCAGGTTGCTTAAGGCACTTTTAGAGAACGTTTCATTGGACAGTACAATAACTGTGTTCTTCAGCTGCTCTTTGGTTAGAGTGGGGATAGCATTTTGTAAAAGTACTTTTATTTGTGAGGGTTTTCCTTGTCCCTGATCATAAGCTGATTTGGCCTTAGATCTTTCAGTACAGGCTAATGAGTCCTGTTCTGCTATTAGGGTTTTTTGTTTTTCATTTTCTCTGCTTCTGGTAGTCTGAAGGATTAAAAAAGAATAAAATATAAGGTAGCATTGATTGCTTCTTTGTTATGATTTGTGTGCTAGCTTTGAACTACACAAAGTATGTCTAGTAGTAGCTAAGCTTGGTTTTGCAGGAAGGGAGCTGATTGGTCTTCAACAGTTTTATTGCTGTTTCATGTTAAAGAAAATTAAAATAAATATTAATCCATTGATCTGTGCATTGATGAATCGAGGGCTTTTAAAGTTGCCTTTCTCAGTTGCTCTGTGTTTCTGGTCTCTATTATGTGCCTGAGCTTTTAGTGAGACTTCTTAAAATTGTGCGCAAACAACAGTTGAGTACTTAGTTGGCTGTATGACTCTCTGGTGACTGGCTTGTTCTACCAGTTTGCTGTATCATTGACATTGAAATTTAATTGACTTGTTCCTAAAGACATTCCTATTCTAATAGTCTGGCAAGATACCTCGGTAACCTACTAAAATAAGGAATGCTTTAAATTACTTCTCCTACTCCATGGAATTATTTAATTTCCACCTTCACCATGTGATGGCATTAATGAAGTAATGCAGTTTTTATTAAAATCTTCTGTACTGTGTGAAAATGTGTCATGGCTTGCATTAAGAATGCCTAAATATCTTTACCAGCTGGAGAATTTCCTACAGAGTTGAAATGCTTCTACTTTTTCTCTGCTAGTACGTTTTGTAATCTTGTAGCATTGTGAATACAACCGTGAAATGAGCGTTTCACTGGGTATGTGGAGCATCGTTAACGATAAAAGAAGTTTGGGGGTTTTCTGGGCCATGTATACTGTTTCACACCGGGGTAAAGTTCTGTCCATATTGGCTTAGATTCAACACAGAAATGGCTGCCTTAAGTTAGACCAAAAATTCATCTAGTCCAGAATTCTGTGTTTAGCAGTGGCCAGTAGCAGAAACTTAGAATGTAAGACTAAAGGAACCATATAATAATGTTCCTCAATGTAGTCTTCCAGGTTCTGAGAATCTGTATCTTGGAGACTTCTTGAGACAAGTGTTGGTCCATTTGTTTTTACTAGCTCCTGATGACTGGAATTTGTCTGATGGCTTTTTGAGCCCATGTTAAACTCAAGTACTGACAGCATCCTGTGGCAGAGAGGTAAACTGCTTAATTATAGGCTGGTCGAAAAATGATGTTCTTATGAAAAGGTTGGGCAGGGGAGATGAGAATCAATACAATTGAACCAATATTTTATTCTTACATTTCGGTACAATGGCAAATAGACATGCCTTGAGGTTTGGGTCCTGGGTGTCATGGATAGTTCCCTGCCAACTACAATGCTCCATCATTTGGACGTGGTAGGATTTGAAAAACAAGTGTTTTGATAGTGACTTGAAGATGCATTCAGTGGTTAACATTTGCTGAAGATTCAGGTAGTAATGTACCCTGAAGGCAATAGTTTTTGACACCTCTTCCCCCATAAGAAGTACTGTGTTCTTTAAAGATCACTAGAGATGCAAATAGTTATTGAGTTTTATTCCTCTTTGAAAAGAGGAGCTTCCCAGGAGCACAAAGGTGCATTAAAGTTGCTATGTACACCCCTTTTTATGGAAGGGGGACCACACTTGTGCTTTACTTTTACTGTTATTGCTAATGCACTGTTGCAGCAAGGATTGACAACTAGAGAACTTAATGTGTAGCATAGTAGCTAGCTTATGTTGAAATCGAAGCAGCTGTATCTTTACTGCTAAAATTATCTTTGTTAGGTTAAGCCTAACACATGTTGCAACCAGATCTTCATTTTAATATTAGCCTCTCTTCTTTCTGGGAAGAAAACCAGATAACGAATACAAGCCTGTTTGTACACTTCAAAAGAACTACTTTGGATGACAGAAACTTCTGGTTAGGGAGACAGCATACAGGTGCTGATCAATATATTTCCAGTTCTGTCTTTGAAGCAACAGCCTGGGGTGGGGGGACAGCCAGCACTAGGGGGAATGAAGTGATTTTGTACCTCCCCGTTTTTTATCAGCATCTTAAACATGATAGTTGTAAATAACTAAATCATATTTTTCTTCTTTAGAAAACGCCAGGAAGAAGGCAAACTTGAAAAACTCTAACCCCTTCGCTTTTAATTTCTCGACTGCACTGCAACTGATCAGAATGTCGGGGGCTTCTGTGAAGGTGGCTGTTCGGGTCCGGCCCTTCAATTCCCGAGAGACCAGCAAAGAATCCAAATGTATCATCCAGATGCAAGGCAATTCAACAAGTAAGTTCAGTGTAATCTCATAATGGAGTCTTTCTCTTGGCTCTCCCTCCCTGCCTAATCCTCGTCTTCTGATCAGACTAAACTGATTACTGTGTACATTACATCATCTGGCATAACCCTTTTAGGGAAGCTTCTTCTCATGTGAGGCTGCCATTACAAACTTAATTATCTCTAAATTTAACTAAAAAGTCTAAATGATGAGAATCTCAGTTTTGATGCAGATGCTTATGGTGTTTGCTCATGGCGAGGTGAAAATTCTGTAGAAAGATTAGGATACTGAACTGAAAACTTTTTGTTAACATCAATGGATAGGAATATAATGTAGACTGACAGATAGAGGGACACAGTGTAGGCTACCCTGTATGAGATCGTTGTGGTGTGACTTGTGCTTAGGTCTACTGCTTTAGGTCTTGGTGTGCTTATTCTGCAGTCTGTGCAGGAATGTTTAGGAGCATAATTTGTGTGAGAAAGCTGAGGGAAAAGGATGTCTACCGAATTAGATGACTAAGCTACAGCCAAATGACAGACTAAATAAAATCTTCTTATTTTCTAACCAACTAAAAGCATTAAAGTTACTAAACAGTTATTGTGGATCAAATTTTCCTTGATGACTGACCTGAAATATAGAGAAGAAGAAACTTCTATGGAAAACTGAATGTGGGCACAGCATTTACTACTTCCTTTTTTACGTACTTCTGAAGTCTCAATTGGTATTTATTCCACTTTATGCAGCGTCGCTTACACGTGACCAAACTAAAAGCTATACTTAATACTGCTCTTCTATGGTAATTTTTCATTTTCAGCTAATGAAGTAGTTTCTTCTTGTTGGTATCTGTAGGAGATGACGCTCTAATAGCGTTGAGTTACTTCTATCTGTTTTTATTGCTTATGTTTGTTTGCAAACAGGAGGTTTTTTACAGGCTTCCTTTTTTTTTTTTTTTTTTTTTTTTTAGCCCACGCTGTACCTCAACCTGCTTCTGCAATGGAATTTAAATCCTGGTTGTGGTGCCGGTCAAATCATATACAATGTTTGTGATATCGCTGAAAGAGGAATTATGCAAAAGGGGGAGCACTTCTTTCAGTGCAGTTAATTCTTATCTTCAGACCTTTTGTGAAATATTGACTGGCAAAACAATTTTTTAATTTGAATTTTAAAGTTGCCATTTAAAAGAAGAAAAAATGTTTAGAAGTCCTCTCATGTATACATATTAAAAGAAACGCATGCCTCTTATCCAGACGTTATCTGCCAACTTTCAAACCAGACCAGTGTAGAATGGAAGAACTGTTGAGTCCATTTGATGGCATTTGTAATGGAAATGCCAGCAAGCTCTAAGCTACAGTAACACTGCTGGGTGCCACTATAATGGGTTTTCTTGCTGCTGTCATGACTTGACAACAGAAATTTTAGAAGCTTAAGATTTTCTAACTCCAGGAGCCTATGGAAACTGCTTGCTTGTTGTACAATGACAAGGATGACCTGTGAATCTCTGACAGTCAATCTGTCAACTGATTTGAAGCGCGTTTTGGACAAAAAATGCTCGTTCTGTTGCCTGAATGCTAGGGCTACATTATAGTGCAGCTGTAGCTGCACAGTGGGGTTGTTTTGTTTTGTTTTGTTTTGTTTTTTTAATTTTTTGTTTTTTTTCCAAGAAACTGCATCAGCTTTTAAAAAGAGAAAAATACTTCCTGATTTATCTAGTTGGAAATCCCTTTACAGCTTTTGCTGTATTTTGTACTCTGGAAAATTTCCAATCTGTAGACTTCTATTTGAGTCCTACAGTTTCAATACAAGACGGGTGATATGACAGATGGTCAGGCTTAAGTGATTAGGTGCCATTACAGACTGCGGGAAAGGAATCGTAAGTTGCGGTAGTTATATTTTCTTGCGATTGATGGGCCATTTTTCCCTGGATTCTCCTCTTAAAGGAGAAATAGGGAAGAAAGCGAAAGAGAGGTAATTTTCTTCAGTGAACAGAGATGGCTTATTTGATAAACTCAGCAAAAAACCTGAGCTGAAATCCTTTCGGTGTCCTTGTAGGCTGCCTATTAGATTTGGGCCTAAGTACCGTTTCTATTTCTTCCATGGATTCTTTCTAGCTTTGTCATGATCCCTCAATCTTTGCAGCCTCTCCGTTACATTTTTGTACTAGATATTATTAAGGTCTGAACTTGCTGGCTAAAGGCTGGGCACAGGATGTGACATAAGCAGATCCGACTCTCAGATCTGGTGCTGCAGTTTCAAAGTAAAGGGGCTTCAGCAGCGGTTCTAGTCTGTGGAGCGCATGCATCACTCCTTCAAACTGTGCTAGTTAAGTGGCTGAGGCTCGCTCAGAAATCTTGCCTCTTAAAGCGCTATTTTTTCATTTGTGTGCTAATCAGATTGACAGGAGGCCGGTCTCCTGGCCTCATGGGAGATGCTGGCAAATCTGAGAGGCTGGTGAGATGTGGAGTAGGAAGTACTTTCAGCCTGCAAGGCAGTTGAAATTCCCTTGTCTTGTAATTAAAGCCTAATGAGCTATGGAGATGGTCAGGATTGATGAGTAACTGTGAAGTCTGGTAGCTAAGCAGGGATTTTGACTGTTATTTGGCCTTTAATTCTTTCTGTATTGTTTGGCCAAGCTATGCTAGGAAACCTCCGCGGGTCCTGAGTTTAAACTATGTCCAAGTGTTATGCTTTGTGGCAGTTATAATAAAGTATATTTGTAAAGTTGAAATACCTGCAGGGCTGTTTGCTGATACGCTGCTTTTGTATTGTTTGTCAGTTTTATATAAAAGTTTGACTCTTTATACTTTTTTGGTGTGACCTCTATTCATGGTAGGCTTACTAGCAAAATGGAACATCATCTTGGGTTAGAAAGTGTATTCTCAGTTTTGTTACCCAGCTTAACCTTCCATCAGAAGCAAAACAAGTTAATTTTGTGAACTTGAGGTATGTCTTCCCTACGCGATTGCCGCCTTCTCCTATTTGACTTTTTAGCTCGCTTCTCCATGCAAGATCAAGACCCGCAGTGGATCTCATTTCTATAATTTGTTAGCGCTTAAAAATTCAGTGTTGCTGAATACAGATCTATATACTACTTAAATGTCAGAATAATAGAGTTTTTACTGAGGATTTTAACCTACAATGTTAAGAACGCTAGTAAGAGAATGAAAATAAATGAGATTCTGCTTTTATTTAAAGACACCTTCCATAGGACCAATTTGTTTGTCAGTTTGTTTTTGCCTGGGAGCGAATATGAAAACACTGTAAATTCTTGAAAGTATTAGATTTAATCTAAGTGCTTCTTTTATAACTTGAATTTTGGATAAGTTGTCATTAAGTAGCTTTAAGCATAAGTAGAAACATACCGAAATCATTTGATGTGTAGATTGTGGTGCAACAATTAAAATGATGGATATGGAAAGCTGTAATGGATACAGTAGCACTCCTACAAAAAATGGTATTACTGTGAGAAATTGAGACTTCTCTTTTTCTGTCTGAAGTATGCAAAAGATGGGAATTTTGAAATCAGTACTTAAAATACATTCCTTCTGTTTGTCTTTTTGTTGTTGTTTTTGTCTAGTATACTAAGATGACAAGATTTAAACTTGTTTTGGCTTTTACGATGCACAGAGAGCTATGATCTGAAGAATTACAATATCTTGCACTTGAAGAATTGTCAGAGTTCCTCAGTCTTTCTGTTGTTGAAATACATGTTGCAAAAATGAATTTCTGCACTCCAGCTCAAGTCACATGTGCTGACTGCATTAAGGGGCTGGTATTTTGGCAGAAAGCCTGTGAGGCTCAGATCATAGCTGGCTGCAGACAGTATGCATTTGAATGATATTGCCAAAAGTTCTTCAGTGGGAATGGAAGAAGTGGGGGTAAAAGAATAGAAGACAATAGGGGAATCCTTAAAGTAAGGAGAAGTTAGAAGCTGCAGAATCCTACTACTTAAGAAGTTAATTTGGAAATGCAAAATGCTTTCCAAAGAAGGAGTCAAATCACCATCAAATCAGTAGTTTAAAAAAAAATTAGAGTAACTAAAACTAGAGGACTCGTTTAAGGAAAGACCATCCCTGTTGTTTTTATTATCACTTAGGTAGGAAACAATCTTAGGAAAAGTAAGAGTAATTTTGAAAGGCACCTGCTATACAAGATTTTAGGAGTACGAATTCAGCTGAAGTAAATGATTTCTGTTTTCATCAGGAGTTGTGTTGCGAAGAGCATGTCTGTACTGTCCATTGTACAGAGATTGCTAAATAAGTACCAACCTATGCTTGCAAGTCCCACCAGAGTCATGCCAGTATGCCTGCTCGAGTCTAGTCATAGTATTGCTGTGCTTGTGGCGTTGCCCCTAGCGTAGTCAGCCATGCGAAGTTACCTGGTGAGCCATATATACCTTGAGGGGAAAGTTAATAGGTTCTGACTTTTGATATTAATAAATTACTCCCCAAGATGATCCCTCTGATAACAGTCCTTCCTTTCAGTTAGCTTGACACTGCCCAATATATTGTTTGTTTCATATTCTGCTAATACAGGATATTTTCAAGTAAAACTTGGCTTGAGTGGACTTTTAAGTTGCATTTGTGTTGGTGGTTTGTCGGTAAAATCCTAACTAATCTGGCAACAGACCGATATTTCTGAAATGACCCTAACGCACCTTTGTCTTTTCTGAGATAACTTTGCTTAGTTTTGGCAGTCTTTTCCCAAGTTTGAAAGGTTATCCACTTTTATATTTTCTTTAATTTACTGGATAACTGGCTTTTTGTGCTTTAGGTTAAACTCAGTGGCTTTTTGAAGTGACTGAGGAACAGATCATGAAGCACTGGACTTTAGCATAGCTTGACTGGATGGATTTTGTCTTTCAACTCTTACTTTTTCATTTTTTTGTTCAGTGGTTTATGTCAATGCATCTTACCCACTGTGTGTTGATTAACATATGCCCCTTCCATAAATTACTGTTTCAGTAGTGAATGGGAAAACGATCCTACTGCATAACAGGTAGGATGAAGAGTGA